AATGGGTTAAAATTTTAGAAGAACCAACCTAAATTTTAAGAGTGAAAAGGGAAAAAAAAAAAAAAAAAAGGACTAATGGGGGATCGGGAAAATTAAATTTTTGCCCAAAATGTGACTATGATGGGGGTTAAATTTGGCACCAAAAAAAACTTAAATGGGGTAGGGGGTTTGGGGGCCCGGGGCAAAAAACCACAAAAAATTGACCCAAAAAACCCCTCCCCCCCCCCCCCCCACCGGGCTCTTGAGTTAACACTGCTTGATCACCAAGATCGTATCTTAATATTTTATGGTTTCTTAACGTACCGATTGCCGCGAAAATTTTACTAAGTAATACTACTCACGTTATTTATGATGGTTAGCAATAAAGCTCATATCTATTTGATCAGCAAAGATTTTTACTTCGTCAGTAGCGTATTTCTTCTCATCAATTCCGGTCTTAAACTATAAATTCATTGCAACTTATTGTACTCATATAAATCTGGATAAATTTGTAAAGGGTAGGAGTTACAAACGGACAGCTTTCCCGTTAAGAAAGAATTACACATGCGTCCGTTGCATTGATTTACCAGTTTTCAGTTTTCATGGCTCAGTTCGCCTTGTAAAATAAAAGCCCCTAAACCAAATATCACCTATGGTAACTACTGATTGGGTTCATTTCCATGAGGCAAATGATCCCCACTGAGTCATGCGGAATCAGTTAAATATTTCAGGTAGAGTATCTACAATTGTAGGTTTATTGGAAGAAATATTCTTCATTTTCCGTGGGTTAAATATAGCTATAGATGATAATGGCACTGCATCGTCCAGTCGGTCCTTGACTGATATATAAAGCATTTCCCGGAATGGAAGATAACTTGCCGAGCACTCCGAAATGAACTGAGTTTTAAGATTAGCCTCTGCTTTCAAACGCGTAGAACTCAGTGAAAATGTAAAAACATGACTATTCCAGCCAAAAGATGCGTGAAGTATGTGGCCTCTACTGACGGCGAAGCATTGCACTGGTCGACGTTGCAGCAGTCCACTGAACACCAGTCTCCAAACTCCACACATTGTTCGCCACTGCAAAGATCCTGATATCCACAACCTTTAGTATAGATATGCTTCTCCGAGTTCTCGATCTTGGTAGCTCTGTGCACTTTGAAACAAACGTCGAATTCTTCGTCCACATTTGAACAATTAACAAGCATTCGATTCTTCTCGCAGTCTTCCCACGAAACCATAGACTGGCACACGTTACACAGCAAAGCAGAACCTGAAAATGATCATGTCAATAGCCTTGATGAGCAATTGAGTAAACGAAATAGACAAGAAATAATTTTCGCAGTTCTAACAAAGGAAGGAGGAGTTACTTTCAAACAACCCGGATGTGTTGCGTCGGTCGGGAATTTGCTTTATCATCTTATATTAGTGTTTCGCAGTAAAAAGATTATAAAGCGCTCGCATTTGAATTGCAGTTTTCACACTGGCAGATTGTCCGTCTGAGAGAGACGGATAATCCGTCTTCGAAATCCGTTAAAATTGACGGATGAACAGATGGATAAAGTCACGCGGATAGTTCAACAAAAATTAAAACCTTTGCATTTTCAAATTAAGTCGTATTATCTGTCTGACGCAAATTATCCAATGGATAATTGCAGATGGATAATCCGTCTCTTGTGTGAAAACGGCCAATTCCTTGTTAAAACGCGGGAACTTGCATTGCACCAACAAGACATTAAAAGTTAAGGTTGAGGAACAATGCCCATACTCAGCACCTTTTCAGGTAATTTACTTTAGCAGCTTAGTATATGAATAGTAGTCAATTTCCAAAGCTATTATCAAATACTGGATACTGAAACCGAAAGGTGACAAAAATGATGTCATTTTTGGCCTTAAGATAGGCGTGGGGAAGGGAACCTGTGACGAAACGCAACTGCTGCTAGGGTAGCTACATAACGCTAGAAACCTTAATAGAATGCGTGCTGATAAAACAAATCGTTACCAATTAAGCTTTTCCTTTCTTGGTCAATTTATCAGCGTATATCAACCGCAAACACTGACAAATTAAAGTGGAACTATTTGAGGCCGGGAAAGCCGTACACCCCCAGCTATTTCCCAAAGCGGAGCTCTGCGGAAAAGGTCAGTGCCGTAGAAACTGCGCCGGTCGCTTTTTTAACCGTCCTCGCTCCCGTGGCCTTCATGGTTGCCGGGTGGTTTAAGCTCCCTGGATATGACTGCAGTATAAGACCGTTCAACTATTGATAAATGTGAAATGATTCACGCTCTTTAAATTACCGGGATTTTTTCCAGTAGTTTATTTGAATTCTTAGAGACTGGGCCGCACTCGCAAGATAAACTGAGTAGAATCCAAAAAGATGTGTAACTGATTTCGTTGTCGCGCTTTTAAGCCCCGCATAAAGCCTTTTGTGCAAAGAACTTGAAAGAAATGTACCAAAAGGAGCATCGGGAGTACCTTTTAGAGCTTTTTAGTTACAAGCACTGCAGGTTTGTCTCTCTTTCAGATAATTTATTTTTTGAAGATATTGCCATCGCTGTAAACCGAGCTTACGACATGGACGGGGAAAAACACGGCATAAATAAGAAAGACGTAACTCAATTGTTCATTATTTCAACTCGTTGAAATATGTGGAATGAATTGCATCACCCCCGGCGTATAAATTTTTTTAAAATATTGTCCTCGTGTATTCACGAGATATTTTGTAGGTATGATCCTTTTCACGCTTTTGTGTTTAACTCGCGTACTTTTGCATTAATTATTTTTATCTTTTCCTTCTCAAAATTAAAGCGAATAGTTTCCTTAACTCAAAGCAAACAGAGGATGTGTTAAAATAACGTGAAAATGAGTTGTTAAATTGTTTTCGCCGGCTTTTGAAATTCAATTTATCAAATTATCAACAAATCTTTCATAAGTTCAATTTGCCTTAAGTTTTGTTAGAGAAATAATACACTGATTTACAAAAGCATGTTGTGTACAATGATCATGTTGCCTTATTGTGTTTTGCCCACAATGGTATGGTACGAGAAGTATCTTGGCTCACAGCTTCCATCATCTCTAAAACGCTTCAGCGAACTGCATCGTATTCAGATACATTTTGCAACCTTAAAAATAACCGTGCAAAATGGTTTGCTCAAATTTGAAAAATATCAGTAATATAGCGTCACTTGGCTTGTTGCAGCGAAGAATCTGTTAAACAAAGGCTATAAAGATGGTTGATTTTACACGGATATTTAGTTCTCTTCATTTAAGAACAACAACATTCT